CCTTGATATATTGATGTTATTCAAATACCATAAGGGCGGGACAGGGAAGTAATTCCGCCTGCACCCACAGCCTGGATAATGGTTGCTATCCGCATGTTGGTAAAGGCTGCGTCCAATGTGAGAGTAATGTATCCGTCTAAGAGTAAATGTATTCGATCGAACGCCTGATGCACTTATGTCACGCAAGGCAAAAAGCTGCTAAGCTGTTAAACCGCAACAAAAAGCCGGTCTAGCAGCTGAGAGAATAGGCCTATACCACTGCTTCCATTAACAATCCAACCTCTTCAGTGTAAAGGTAAGTAATGAAGTCCAAAAAAATATGGTCACTATTCAACTATTACTACCACAATTGAGCAAACAGGCCGGATTTTGGTCGACTTTTTTCTAGGGAGGCAGGTTTGGCTGAAGGTTGGGTTTAGGGGTGATTCGACATCCTGAACAAGAATATCACACCTGCTCCGCATAAAAATGCCTGGCGCTCACGCCACAGGCGCCGGCGACAAAATACCCTGGCTACAAACTTCTATACGGAAGTTATTTGACATCTTGATTACAATATCACGTTCATTGCGCTGGCGCTGATGGAAGAACTACGATCATCTACGCTGTGCTAAGACGGAGCCCGGTCTAAAGAGAATCACTCCTTTTCCCAGGTTCAGCCTCAGAAGAGAGCTAAATGGCGCTGATGTGGAAAAGTGAATGTCATATTCGTGATCAGGGCATCAAGCAATACTATTTTGCAGGTTTTTACACTACGAAAAGGATGCGGCGCTAAATCAGCGTTTACTACTGTCTAATGGCGTCAAATGGCGCCAGGGCTGACTAATGCATATTCGTGATCAGGACATCATGTCACCCTAATGTGCAAATTTACACCAAATTTGGTGAGCAAGGTAGCCAAACTAGGGCCAAAATGGCGCCAATGTGGCGCCAGCTCCGGAATTGAGTGCTATGTTTCGTCATCAGAACAACCGAGTACCGCTGTGGCCGCCAAAAAGTCAGCGAATAAAATTTTTGTTGACGTATGGAGACAGCAATAGTTTGAAGTGCCAAAATATAGAAGAACTATCCGGCCTTCTCTGAGTAGTCGGATTGGTATCTCTTAAACGGGGGGATGCGCTTACCCCCCAGCAAATCCTATCCGCAGCCTCATCGTGGCGTGGGGGTGAACGGTTTTGGACTGTTCCAAAAACGTACCAATGCGGAGGGTGCCACGTCAGAGCCTGGCGAGCTACGCGTGGTTAATTTTCTTCTCGCCGAAAACCAGTAACCCTATGGCGCCCGATTCCCTAAAGCTGGAGGGAGACACCGACAGGTGACGTTGGCTGGGACGCTCGCGGGGCTGTAGAACACGAGGGCCAACGGAGGATTATAAGTCCAGGACTAGGATGACGATCTGTACTTTCAACGCACGGACGCTTGCATCGGAAGCTCACATCGAAGATCTGATGTTGCAAGCCAGGAAGATCAAGTACGACGTCATCGGACTGACCGAGACGAGGCATCGCCCGCTACACGCCGTATACGAGACTGGAGAAGAACTGTTCCTCGGAACATGCGACAGCAGAGGCGTTGGCGGTGTGGGCGTCCTCGTCAACACGCACTTGGCCATGAACATCGATTCGTACGAAAGTCTGACGACCCGAATCGGACGTTTGCGATTGAGAAGATGTGGTTCAACTCCAGCTTTGACAATCTTCGTCGCCTACGCACCAACATCAAGCTACGACGAGGATGAGCTCGAAGCGTTCTATATGGAAATTGGAGAAGTTCTACAAGGAAGATCATACCTTCTTCAAGGTCATCGTCGGTGACTTCAACGCTAAGATCGGACCAAGAAGAACGGCTGAAGAACTTCACATCGGAACTCACGGAACGGAGTGGAATGAGCAGGGTGAAAGGCTGTCTGAGTTTATCATGTCGACCCACACCATCCATGGTAACTCGCAGTTCCAGAAGCCCTACTCTCTACGCTGGACATGGGAGTCTCCTGGTGGACAATTCCATAACGAGATCGACCACATCATCTGCAATCGAAGGTTTTGCCTGACCGATGTCGCTGTTGTCCCTAAGTTCTACACGGGATCCGACCATCGCCTCCTTCGCGCAAGATTCCGCTTTTCGATGCGAGGAGAGAGAGCCGCAAAGTTCAAGAAGCGAAGCCCCAAGACCACCATCAACTGGGATCACTTCACTTCTCTCGCTGGGCTCTGGGAGGATTCTGTCATCGACAACATCGACGAGGAATACGAAAGGCTTGTTTTTTATTGCACATTTTCAACGACTGCGCCGCAAGAAGGTCATGAGCGTCCAAGATTACCAAGAAGCGTCTTCGCTTGCGAAACTCTCGGAGCTGGATTCGCCAACGTGGAGCCGCACGAGCCGCAGGCAATTACCAGCTGACGTCTGAGCTTGCGAAGCTATGCAGAGAAGCGATAAAGGAAGACCTCAAGGAGAGAAGAGCAGCAGTACTGGTGGAAGCCGCAGAGGCTGGGAAGAGCATACGCAACGCCCGCCGCGACTTCGCCAACTGTAAGACCAAGATGACCTCCGACGCCCTCCGACGTCCGGATGGAACAATCACCGCATCCAGAAGGGCAATGGAGAAGGTCATCCACGACTTCTACTCGGATCTCTTTGACAGCCACGTCCACCTGCAACCATACCGCTTGGAGCAGGATGGATATGTCGTTCCTGCAGTTCTCTCTTCCGAAGTCCGACACGCCATCTCGTCGGTGAAGAATCGTACGGCACCCGTCCCGACAGGATCAGACCCGAACATCTGAAGAATCTTCCGCCAGTTCTCGTCAAAACTCTGGCTCGACTCTTCACGCGCTACCTGTCGGAATGCAAGGTACCCACCTCGTGGAAAAACCAGCAAGACTGTGTTGCTGTACAAGAAGGGAGACCTGTACGACATTGGCAATTATCGCCCAATCTGCCTGCTGTCTGTAGTCTACAAACTCTTCACACGAGTCATCCTTAACAGGATTGGAAGAACACTAGACGAAGGACAGCCATGCGAGCAAGCAGGGTTTCGAAGAGGATTCAGCACGATCGATCACATCCACACGGTAACGAAGCTCATCGAAGTATCGCGAGAGTACAAGATGCCGCTATGTCTCACGTTCATCGACTTGAAGAAAGCCTTCGACTCCGTTGAGACAGAAGCGGTTATCGAAGCCCTGGGCAACCAGGGTATTCCTACTCAGTACATCAGGATTCTGTCGTGGAGCTCTTACAGCACTTTAAAGACGCAAGATCTCACCATTCTACAAGGAGATCATCATTGATGTGAAGAGAGGGGTCCGACAGGGCGACACCATCTCGCCCAAGCTCTTCAGCGCCTCTCTCGAGAACGTCATGCGTCAACTGGAATGGGAAGACATGGGAGTGAAGATCGACGGTCGGCAACTACACCATCTCCGCTTTGCTGACGACATCGTTTTGATAACACCAAACATCGAGCAAGGAAGCGAAAATGGTGCTGAAATTCGACTGCGCGTCGTGGGAACAATCGGTCTACGGGAGTTGAATCTAACAAGACGATGTTTCATGAAAAAACGGATTGGTGTCTGATGCCAGTCGTCACGCTCCAACGGACACCCATCTCTGAATGCCTCTAGCTTATGTGTTTATCTAGGTTTCGTTGATAAGATCAATATTGTATTGAAGACCATAGCCTCCGAGGAGGCTGGCAGCCCCGCAGCAGGAGAACGGCGACGGCTCGGGAGAGCCTCTCAAGGAACAATCGAGGTTTAGTAGCTGAAGAAGTTACGAAAGTAATCACCAATGCTCTCCGTGCCATCTCTCCGACGACTTAAGCGCGCCACTTGTCACTACCAACAGAAAACTCGTCCAGACTAATTCCTTTTTGATTTTTTTCATACTAAAGGCTTTTTGCAGGATTTTGATCGTTTCACTTTCCTTTTCTCTCTATATTGCACCCTTGCTAACATTTCAAGCGGACTACCGACTTACCGTGCCTCGTATCTCTTGAAATATCTGCCTTCCACCAATTCAACTACACATTTATCCATGCAAATTCTCAAACAAACGTAAACGGAATCAAAAATCAGTACGAAAATCTCCGAAAATTTCAGAACGGCTACTGGATGGCTAAGTCTGTGAAAAAGCACACGTTCTCATGAGAGCTTTATCTCCCATAAAGTATGCTCATCAACTTAACACTGCACAGTCGCATAGATTTTACGGCGCTGCTATACATATATATGGCCGCTGCTTACAGTCGGTCAACGTGAACTGATGACGTTCAGGTCTTCTGAACCCTCAACGGCTTCATTTTCTTGGGTTTTTCGGTGAATCTTTCCCATTGCTGCAGCTCCCGACTCGATCTTTTTGTACACCTTAATGTGAGATCTCTCATTTCATCTGAAAATCTGAAAAATGATATTTTTATGGTGGACAGGTAGCAATGTCTATGGTACTGTAGTGAACTAAATAGGAACGCTCGCATAGGCTAATACCGCGATAGCGAGGGGTAAAAAGGTTTTGAATAGAGCAGAGTGTGGTCACTTCAGTAATTAGTAGAATACTGGAATTAAGCTTTCTCTGCTGATAATTTGGTGCTCTCTATCTAAAATGGTAGTGGGAAGAATGGCCAAAAATCGAAGTGAAACGGCCAGAATCCGGCGATAGAGCCATGCAAGCACTAGCATCAGTGGGACTTTTGTGGACAGGAGGGCATGATATGTTATTGCTTGGTGTGGACACCTTCCTTTGAAAGATTCACGCAGCGTCCGCTCCGGGCGCGCCGAAGTCTCTCATGCAGGGCATATTAATCCTAAGCGTCTTGGGCATTTCACCTGAGTTCTGTGCTCAAGAGCGATTGTGATAGATTTTCTTGTTCTGTGATTTTTGCTCGGTACCTGAAAATCGGCATTCTTACATTAACACTGACGCTGACGCACAAATAAATAAGTAGATGAAACGAACTATTAAGTAAGCATAGCCTGTTTCAGAAAAACTGATTGGACGCAATGAAGGCGTGTTTTGTTCTTGCTATGCTATTCGGCTTGCTGGCCATTGGTAAGCGATGTTCTAATTCTGGGTCCTAATGTTTTATTAGACAACTAAAAACTTTTTTCTATTTTACGATTGAAAACTCCCACAAGAAAGGTGAGTCGGGGAAATACCTTGTTAGGATAGGAACACAAAAGTGGACTCACATTCACGAGGCTGGTGTGCTGCATCCGCCGGAGCAATCCTAATCGTCCCAAAGACTGTCACTCCTCACCCGTTCAGTCATGATCCCTGCAAACGATAGGGCGGGTGGTGGGCATAGCTCAGAGCACAGCCAGATCATGATTGTTTAACGTGATGAGCTGGTAATGGAGGTGGACGTTGTCGCCAGAAAGCTGAACTGTTAGAAAGCTTCCTTGATTGTTTGGTGATTGCAGTTGAGCGTTGGTCCGAGAGTTATCACGAAGCATCTAGATTTTTCAAAAAGTTTGTGCTCGAGCACCAGCAGACAATTCGTCGACGGGGAGGGGCATTTTGCACTTTGGCTGCTCCGCTAGTTCCGGTTTTTAAGTCTCACTCTGGCGAAACCTGTGAATTTTTGTGAAGCTTTAGCAAGGCTGTCAAGTCACCATGAAAGTCAACGCTCAGATGGCTCCAATCGTCGATGGAGGGGAGGGGAGCAAAAGTGCGAATTGTCCCTGCCCGTCGCGGAAGTGCTCCGAATATAGAGGTTTTCCCACATTCCATCATCCTTGTAGCCCTACCATCCTTTGCTACTACAAAAAAATACTACAGTTAGTGCAAGGCTGGTCAGAGACAGGATGCTTCCACGCTTCTATCCACGTATCCGAGAGGTTGATATATGCAGCTTGGATATCGAAGCTGGACCATGCATGGCTCTCTTCCACAGGTGAGGCTGACTACATAATTTATATTCGAATAGATGGAAAACTTTGCATTGGGACTGAATTTTCAGCGCGCATCTAGCTTAATGACGAAATCTCATCATCTCCGCAGTCTAATTCGCGGCTGACAAAGGGCTGGATGAGTTCGGCGCGTGCCAGACCCGTGTTGGAGCGAGCAAGTGAAAAGACTGTATCATATCGTTCGTGTCGCTCATTTTCCACCAATATTTGCCGCACACACACTTCAACATCTGGGAGAGAACGGGTTTGACGCCTTGACACACTCATACCGCCTGGCACGCCCTTTCGTCCGCAGCGAACTAGAGTATATCTGCGAGAATTCCTGCTGACAGTGGATTCATGTTCATAGATGATTACCACACTGCTCAGAGGAATCCTAAAGCATAATAACGAGATGGAGTCATGAAATACTTACTACTTCTCTTCGTATAGCTCATGAGTGAACCTAGGAGAAGCTTATAACTGAACTGGAACGAAACATTCCATTTTAGATACGGTTTCTCTCCTGAAAAAGGAGAATGCGTTGAGTTTTCGTACGGCGGTTGCCAAGGCAATATGAACAACTTCGAAACTATGGAAGAATGCAGGAGGATGTGTCACGGACGAAGATTTAACCCCTGGAAATTTTTCGGCAATTTTGGTACCAGCCATTAAAAAATATTTGCAACGAAGTGTAATATCAATAAACTGAACAAAGGAATAGGATTCACTCCAAGGACTCAATTGTGGTCAAAGTAATTTGTTCCAGCAATAATCATGCAAAGCCCAATTGTAAGTTATTTGGAAGCTACCTCTTAGAGATTCCATCAACTTCTTTCAGGGGTGTGGCTGAGTTCTGCCCTCTGTTGTGGGTAGGTGGTACTCTCATCAGGGTTACAGGATTCAGTAGAAAATGGTAAACAAGTGAGCCACTATACGTAGGTCCGCGCGACATCGCGATCACCACGCGCGCGGTGGTGGAGAAAAAACAGTCTCCAAGAGGCACGGCCGTGAAGAAGTTTCTCTGTCGAAATGGACTACTACTTTTTTGACCGCTCTTGTGGAAACATTCTCCAAAGTTTCTACTAAAAGTGTAGAGGAGTACCTTCTTGTCGTTTGCTCTGAGCTCTTGCTATTTATGATTTTTTTATAATATTCTACCTTTTCGAACACCTCTGCTAGAGGTGTCCGTTCCAAATAAGCTAATAAGCTTTTCTGAGAATAGCAGCTGGTTTTGAAGGCAAAGAACGCGATCATTCGCTATCACAGCTAATGGATTAAAGGTTCGCATGCAGAGGACAAGGTTCTAAGTGACTCAATAGTGAAGGAAAAATCAGACAAAGAAACATGCCAACTGCCCGAGATAGAACTCCATCTTGCCTTCAGTTTGTACCTGCCAAGTAAACTCTACCTGCAGCACTACGCCCTCATCTACACAGCTGATTCCCCGAAAAGAACTCTACCACCGTACAGGTGACGACTTTCATGCTTTTTCGTTGTGCAGCTGCGTTTTTCGCTGAGAGACGGGCATAAAGGCGGTGTATGTAGGCGGAGTCA